AATGTTATTTGATATGTAGGAATTTTTTGGTTTGAAATTCCATTTTAGTTTTTTTTGTTATTTTATTTTGACTATAATTTTTTTTCTTTTTTCTTTTTAATTCAACAACGTGCAGGGGGAGATTTGAAACTCCAAAATTTTCGTTAATAATATATACTTAATCAGTCAAATTGGACTAGATGGTAAATTTTTAGAATACACCTATTTTAAGTTTTGGCATTATTTTGCTGTTAATTAACCCGTGATTATAAGATTTTGAATATGTGTATTAATGTGACCTGGACATCGAGTAGAGATGCGTTTGTTTGAGGGGTATTTGGTGGATGGATATTGGGTGGAAATAAGTTCAAAATATCGTTGTTTTTTTAAACTCGTAGAATATAAAATTTGAAATTTAAGAAGGACAAGGATTATTTTATTAAAAGGAAAATACTAAAATATACCTTTAAATAGTTAAAAATTAAAATTCCATTTTGATCGGCTAACTTTTAATTATTATATTATGGTCCCAAAATTTTTAAAATGTCAATTTTGGTGTTTGAACTTTTAAGTTTGTGTCCTATTTTTGTCTTGAAGTTTTAGAAAATAATCAATTTTATCCTTATCTTTATTATATTTTAATGAATAAATTATGTAGCTTTGATTATGTTTATGTGAATTAATGTGTTAATGTAAACATATATTGAATTCATAGTTGACGTAAATATTTGGTATGCAGGAATTAGTGGCAAAATAACAACAAAGACTAAAATGATTATTTTCTATAAATTTAAGAATAAAAAATAGAAATTTTAAAAATTTACGGATCAAATAGAATAAACTTTAAAATTGCATAAAAATATAGAAGTTCATGGATCAAGATTGCATAAATGCTACGTCTCGTTTTTTAAATAAAAAATTAAAACATAGACAACAAATGGGCAAAAAGATTTTTTACCAGTACGCTATCTTATATTAATAATGCCTTTTTTTTCTAAACAGATTACTTAGTTAGTTGTCTCTTCAAGAGATACCATATATTGATTTTTCTAAAAAAAATTTATTGGTGCCAACGAAGGGCCAACCCGGTAGGTCGTCTCTCTCCTTTTGCTGACTATTCACAGATTGTCAACTATTTTTCAAATATTATTCTTAAAAATAGTTTGATTAAATGATATATTTTAGGAATAAGTTTCCTAAAAAATAATATTAAAAAATCCCAAAAATAGAGGCTTACAATAAAAGAGATGATTTATTTTTAGTACAGGCTAGATTTTTGTTACAAGTTTAAGAACAAAGGATATTTACTCCATTATTGATTTACTCCCAAATTCTAACTATTTAGTCTATATTTTCTATAAAAAAAAAAGAAAAGAAACTATTTAGTCTATATATTTTTAAATAGTTATAATTTAGTCTATAAATTTGTAATAATTAAGTCTATGTAGTTTAAAATTTGTAACGATTTAGTTATATTGTAAGATTATTTTTTAATATTTAGGAAGGTTTCTTATATATAGATAGATTGATAAACTGAAAAAATATGTGTTTAAAAATTACAAATACTAGATGGCTAATTGATACTTAATTATGATGAGATTTTTTCAAAATATTGACTAAATTGTTACATATTAAAGTTAAACGGCTACCAAGGTAAAAATACAGCTAAATTGTTACAAATTAAAGTTCGATGAACTAAACAATTATTTCCAAACGTACAGAACCCACCGTATTTTTTAACGTTTTCTTAATTAGTGGGTGAATATTAGAGAAATCAAACCCAATAAAAAAAGATGCAATAATTATATAAGTCTAAATTTAATAGAATTTATTCTAAAAAAAATTAATAGAATTAAATAAAAAAAACTTTAGGTAAAAGTTTGTACCTTCCCTACAAATTACGTTTGAAAGAGGGAAGGAAGAAAAGTGGGTCTCAATTGGGCCTTCGGTAATAATAAAATATATGATAGTGCTTTTAAAAAAAAAATTTATTAATTGAAAGAATATAGATAAACTTTTTTTAAACTATTAAAATGAATAGTCTTTAGTTTTTACTATCTCTTTTGAATAAAATAGACCATAATTTTTTTTACACATTTAGGATTTCTTAAAACACGAGTGTAAAAGAAAAAGGAAAAGGATGCAATATAAACGGTGTAGATACTCTTCACCCGGTATAACTTTATAATAACTAAAAAGAAAGAGAAATTTTAAAACAATGAACATATCAAATTTTAGTTAGATTTGATCAAAAAACTTTATTTTAAATAAAAGATAAAGTAAGATTTTGAGATAAAATTCGAAATCATAAATTTATTCCTTCTGGTTCTATACAAAGAGGCATTCATTAGGGGAAAAAAAAAAAATCAAGTCCAACCTCCTAAGCTGATCAGCTGTAATTGAGATGTATATTTGACCAACAGTCATAAGTTTGAATTCCTATCCTCACTTATTGTACTAAAAAAACTCGAGGTCTTTCTCTTCTTTTCGTTGACTTCTAGATTGACATAAACCTATAGATAAGTAAAATATGTGATTTTGAAATCTTGGAGAGTTGACTTGATTAGTTTTGAAATATGTATTTTGGTATTTTGACTAAAATTTCGTGGGTATTTGTTTGTTTTTATTGAACTTTGAGATCGTTTTATATTGTGAGTATTCAAATTCGAAGGCGAATATGGATTTGCTGATCAGGTTAATAGCGATGTTTTGTGGCTAAAATTTATTTCAGTGCATTGGGAGCTCATAGTTGCTTATTTAAAGTATGTGTCTCGGTCGTCATATATCATGGTTTCTTCGGCGAGACATGTGCCTTTGTGGTTGTTCTTGTCAGCTTTGTCCAAGAATGATCTCTTTTTTCTACTCTGTTGTGCCAAATTTCGTACGGTATTTATTTTCTCTGCTTTTTAAAATAGATATTATTCATCAATGAAATTTACAGGGAGGGATGCACTTGTAATTTTGTTTCTACTTTAGATAGAAAAGAAGTATGTATCAAGTATCATTTTTTCTTGGGAAACATTATGATATTTGCTCAACGGTAAGGTTCAATTCCTTTCATTTGCTTAATTTTCATTTTCATATTTATACATACTACTTTTACCATTTTTATTTACTAACAATGAAACAAACCATCTATGCGGTCTACTTCAAGTTCAAGTTGAAATTACCAAACTCACCGCAACTGAATTATCTATTGACATTTCCTTCAAGGTGGAGGAAGTTCCTCCTCACCACTGCCCAAGCTACACTTTAGCTATAAATGAGATTGACGTCAGCCCAGAGACGTTGGATATTAATTTTTTAATAAGGATATTTATTAAACTTATTCCAAAAATATATTATTAACCAAACTATTTCTGCTTGAAAAATAGATGGTGAAGTGGCACTATTTGAAAAAATGTATTTCACGCCACGTATCCTTATTAAAAAAAAGTGTCACTTCATAGGTCGTCTCCCTATTTTGGAAATAGTTTGATTAATAGTGTATTTTTGGAATAAGTTTAATAAATAGCGTTGTTGAAAAAAATCTCAAAGATGTCTGCTTCACTAATTGCTTGCTACATGTTTATACAATTTTGTTTCCGTACTTTCAATTTTCTACTCATAAGACATTATGTTGTTTATTAACCATATTTTTATAAGTTTTTTTTCTTTTTAATCTTTCGATGAGTAATTAGTTCAGATGAACTCATTTAGAATAATAATAATAATAATAATAATTTGGCTCATGGTTCTATATTTTCTACTTAACCTCTCATGTTTTATCATATAATTATTAGAGGTGGGTGAGATCAAATTAGGGATATATTATAAACTCTTTTTAAGTACAATAACCAAATAAACATAATATTGAAAATTTAGGCTTATTAAGGATTGGTTACCTTATTTTTCTCTCTCTCTCCCCATTTTTTTAATCTAGTTTATGATACAATATTTGAATAGAAGTTTTGTTTTTTATTTTTATTTTTATATAATTTGCTTTATTGGAAGTTCAAAGAATTGAATTGGATTGAGATTTATTTACTTTTTCTTTTTCAATTTTTTAAGAAGTTATTATTATTATTTTAGAATTATTATTGAAATCAAGTTTTAGATGTGGATGTTGTTAGAAATAAGTGAATAATTGAGTTACCAAGCAACATCTTCTACGAAAGCAAGTTCAGTTAGCACATAAGCTCCATTTACCTAATTGATGAGTTAACAGACGATTGAAGTTGAAAAAAAAAAGTGTTGTACTTCACTTCTTAGTAATACCTAAAGAGACAATGAAATATTGTCAATACTGAATTAATGGAACACACCAATTGTTTATATCTAATTTAATTAAAAAGAGTCAAAGTGAACATAGCTTAATTGGTATATACCTTCAACCACGAGGGTTGAGTTCGAATCCCCTCTCTAACATGTTGTACTAATATAAAAAAAAACCTTAAACTTGATTAAAAAGAAAAAAACGTGATTTAAAAATTAATTTACTTAGGTCTTAAATTTTAGAAGTTCTTACAAAAATATCCATGAATTTTAATAGATATTGAAAACATAAACATAAAATTGAAAGTGGAAGACCTATCAAATATAAATTAAAAGGGGTTCATAGAATTATTAAACTTAAAATTTATGTTAAATTTAGAATTGAGAGTTTAAAAATTACTCGCCACTTTTTAAAGTTTAATAACATTTATTAGATAGGTTCAAAGTTAAATCTAATTGAATACAGTGTAATAAAATAAAATCTATTAAATACAGTTTTAAAAGGTTTAAGGACTAAATTTGTTATTATTATTATTTTTTATTAATTGTGCATGATTTCTTCCATTAAAATGTTTTTTTTTTTTGTTTGGCAAATTTGTTTTGTTACTCAAAAAAAGAAATAATTGTATATAAATAATTGTGAGAGAATAAGAACGTGGATTTTATTGGAAGTTTTCTCAACCTATTTTATTAAATAAATAAATATATATATATTAGTAAAAAAAAAGAATATTTCAAATGTCAATGTTCTGGAATTCAATGGGAGAGGAAGAAGAGAAGGGGAACAAATCCAACAAAAATCGTTTCGAAATATTACAATTATTTGGTTGTTAAAAAAAATGGATCTTCCTTAGAGACGGCGGCGATTTCAGTTAGCTCCTCCATTGTTAAAAAAAGAGAAGGGGAGCCGTCGTCAGAGGCATTCATGGAGGTGAATCCCACCGGCCGACGCCCGGAGCGACCAGCTATTGCGATCAGAAAGAAGGAATAGAAGCACCATGGATCCAAGTGAAGCCGAGAACCTTCACCAACCGCCATGATCGAGCGGTCGTTCTCGGAGCTCCGGTCCGGTCCGGCTGCGGTTGACGCTGAAGAACAGGAAAAAGCACAGATACGTTTCGATCGAGGCGGCGAAGATGCTGGAAATTCAATGATGTGAGTTAATTCGGTTTGACAGATCAACTAATAGAACAATTTGTATCAATAAATTATTGCAAACATCCATTGAAACTATAAATTAATAGGAGATATTGGATTGATGGTGATTTATCATAATATGTGTTCTACTGTAGGTAATATCAAGACATGAATTGATTAATCGATGTTGCTGACCAATTATTTTAGGGCTTTTTGAATCAGATGGTGTGAAATTGTTTTGAAGGTTGATAGTCACATAGAAGTTAACGCTAGTGCTGAATATTCAGGGCATAGCCGCTTAGGTAATCTCACATGTTGTAGAAAATAGTACCTAAATCCTTGGATTCTATAGACTGCATTTGTGTTCATCAGCTTCGAGTTTCTTGCTTGCTTGTGAGAATTTTCAGTCTTCCAAATATCATAAAAATGCAGAGAAGTATGAGTCCAGTCTTGTTTATGATGGTGTTGATTTCTGCTGTAGTATGTGCTCCCTCATTCACAGCCTGTTTGGATGGCGATTTATCAGAATCTGAAGCTTTTATCAGTTTCATCAGAGCCATTGACCCTCAAGACATGCTCGGGATCGGCACGAACGACTTGGTCCTACAGTTACAGTCGAATAAGGTGAAGGGTGTAAAATATAGTCGCAAGGGACAATCTATTGTGGAAATTAGGCTTCAGAATTTGAACCTCAGTGGGAAAATTGATGCAGATTCTGTCTGCAAACTTTCTAGTCTTAGAGTTCTTAACTTGGCCAAAAACAACATCCAAGGAAACATTCCTGATTCAATTGTCCACTGTACAAGGCTGACCCACTTGAATCTTAGCAACAACAATTTAAGTGGGGAGGTACCTTTGGTTCTGCCTAAACTAAAACATCTCAGGAGATTAGATGTTTCTAACAATCACTTTACTACTAGTTTACCCCAATTCATGAAAGAATTCAAGCATGGGAAGTCTCTAAGATCATGGATGACTCGGCAGGACATGATCGACGTTGGGATAAAAGCTGCATCGCCCGTCTCATCGAGCTCACAGAGCAGCCAATCTAATAGTGTTGGAGGAGCACACTGGCTTTTCCATAAACGGATAAAATGGATGATTATCTCTATTGTCGGTATTGTATTGTTTTTGTTGTTGTCATTCTTTATATGCAAGAGGGCTGCAAAGTTAGTGGGTAAGAAGCAAATGTTTCAGAAGGCTCTTGAGAAGTCTCCTCCTATTGTAGCTCTATCAGCCATGTCTACTGAGCTTGAGCAACGGGATGAAGCACTTCCAGAGCTTGTGTTTTTTAACGAAGAAGATGAACAATTCAAAGTGGAGGACCTCCTCGAAGCAACAGCAGATTTACAAAATCTGAATATTTGCACCAGCCTTTTCAAGGTGAGGTTAAAGAGCCAATATTATGCAGTCAAAACATTGAGAAAAATGCAGATAAACTTTGATGAATTTCGTAAAACCATGAGGCTAGTAGGAAACCTGCAGCACCCGAACATTTTACCGCTTGTGGGTTATTATTCTGCTAACGAAGAGAAACTGCTGATCTACAAGTATCAGAGAAATGGAAGTCTGCATAAACTTCTTGAGAGTAAGTAAAGTTTGCAACACCCTTCTTTTGCTTTCTTGCTAGCACTATATCTTCACAAAACATAGCCATTTGCATCTGTGATGAAGGAAAAGTTCACACTCCTAAGAAAAACCCAACAAATTACCAAGATGAAACCTGATTCAAATTTGTGAAGATGTCAATTATCGTGTCATTTTTTATTGGTCCGAAATTGATATTTCCCATTGGGCTTCTGTTACTATACTAAGGAGTTTAGTGTTTATATATGGAGCCCCTTTTTGTAGTTTTAGTTAGCTTCTTGTTCTTTTTCTCCCATGAAGGAAAAAAAAATATATTTGTTGCTTCTCTATTATCCATTGGAGAAGTTTTTTTTTAACTCCTTTGGAATGGGGTTCTCCCCTCTTTTTGTAATTTCATATAATCAAAATGAAATTGTTTCTTATTAAAACAAAAAAAACATTTGTTTGATAAACTAAATTGCAGTGTACTACAGTTGGGGGAAGTATTCAACACATATGAACAATAACATGGTTTCTAGTCCTTGATACTTCTGGTGAAATTTACTTTAAAAATCATTTAACAAGGCTAACAGTGAGAGAATTGTTTTTTTTTTTTTCGAACTTACAACCTCATAGACTGCTGAGCTATGCTCGCTTTGGCAATGGCTAAGTTTATTGAATGACTTTTGGGTTATGTGCAGGTTGTATTGAAGGAAAGCAGAAATTCCCATGGAGGATAAGATTATCCATAGCAAGTGGAATAGCAAACGCACTTGGTTTTATATACCAAAGAAGATCAAATGCAGAAGACTCCATTCCACATGGGAATCTAAAGCTTTCAAACATTCTCTTAAACGAAAACAACGAACCGCAGATCAGCGAATACGGGATCACAAAGTTCCTAGACCCGAAGAGAGCTCGTCTTCTTTCCTCCAAGGGGTATACAGCCCCAGAGAAAAAACTATCAGAGAAAGGCGACGTTTACAGCTTCGGAATCATATTGCTCGAGTTATTAACAGGGAAAATGGTAGCGAAAGATGGGATAAATCTCCCCAAATGGGTGAGAGCCAAGATAAGAGAAGAGTGGACCTGTGAAGTGTTTGATGATGAAGTTGCTCAAAACGCAGAAAAATGGGGCATTTCTCTTCTGCTTATTGCCTTGGACTGTGTCTCTCATTACCCTGAAGGAAGGCCAACCATGGCTGAGGCTCTGGAAAAGATAGAGGGTGTGATGAAGGCAGTGGAAGATTATGAACAACGCATTTCACCTTTTTCTTCTGATTTTGGCACTCCTGATTCTTGAGTCTTATCGTCAGTACTTTTACATACATATCATATATTTTTTTTTACCAACTCTATTCGAAACAGTTCGGATTTGAACCGTTTTTAATACCAATCTTTGTCAGTTGGATTGGATTGTTCGTATAGAAGAGTTTGTACTTAGGAGTGTTAGTAGTATTGTTTACTAGGTCCTTTGTGATGTACAATATGGGATGGATGGATGATAGGTTTAAAGGTTTATAAATAGTTCGGTTTTTATAATTTTGTCATTCATTTCATCTTTGTTCTTATATTGAATTGGTTCTTGCATTGAAATGTTTCATTTTCACATATTTTAAAAATATTTGTGCTTGACTGAGTTCATCGAATGATATATTCAACCTATTTGAGAAGATGATTTGAATGAGAAGTTGGTGAAAAATTATTCAAAGAGATTACTATCCTAGTAACTACTTTAAAGTTCTTTAGGAAGAAATTTTTTTTGATGAACTTAATTATCTAAGATTATAGTTTATCCCAACTATTGTATTTGCATTCTCATTTACATACCATTTACTTGATATGTGTTTTTTCAATATTATCCCAATATACTTGTTTGTTTCAAATTTATTGTTCTATTATGGTTTTTTTCCATATAAAATTATAATTTATCTTTTTTTTAGTACAACAAGTAATAGTGGGAAATTCGAATTCATGACCTCTGGATCAGAAACAATAATTTAGTTGAAATATATAAAATTTGAAAATTTGATGTACATTTTCTTTTTCAGTAAATCAACATGTAGAAGTGAGGATTTGAACCCACTATCTTTTGGTGAAGATATATTCCTTGACCAATTTGAAATCTGAAGCAAATTTTGGTGTAATTGGTTATGAAGATAAGCTAACTCAACTTTTTTAATTCAAAGTTATTTTGGAAAGTTATATTTCAAGTATTGAAATTTAAACAATAAAATGAAAATTTGAATCTAGCATCAAGAGAGATTACTCATTACTAATATTTGAGCTATAACACAGATGTTTATGTCCATAGGTTTTGAAAATGAATTATTTGTATTCGGGAAAAAAATTGTTCCATGACTAATTTTGTCATTTTGGTTTTTTTTTTTAACTCTGGCCTAAACCCTAATACTATCAACTAATACAGTTACTAAAATAGAAAACTGCATGAAAAATAATTGTCAATACAATAATGGTGTGAAGTTTAATTAAACTCTGTGGATCAAATACAAAGACCAAATTTATTTTGGTCTATATACCAGCTTTTTTTGTCTCTGCACTTTCAAAATATCCTTGTAGGTTTATACTGTTCATTTTGGTCTCTGTAATTAAATAACTAATTTAATTTTTATTTGCAAAATAACGAAACTCTTTAGTACAAATATATGGCTAATTTTAAGAAATTTAGCAAGTGGATTGTCATGCAATCGAAATAACTAGTCACTTTTAAAGCATAGGATTAAGACGAACGTGTTGAAAGTACAACTCAAGTGAATAAAAGTTGAAAGTACATGACTCAAAATAAAAATACATGACAAGTCAACCTAAGCATCAAATCGGAATCAAATTTAGGTGAGTCGATACTGACTAACTCACGTCGAAACCACTTGGATTAAGAATGAATCTATGTCGAAGGAGTCTGACGCTGCATAACTGAATTTGAAAAGGCTCGAACTTACTGGTCTGATGCTGGAAGGAATGAGTATCAAAGATTTTACTTCAATTGAGTATAGGTCAGGCTACTGTTCGCATCGAAAAGGAGAGTACGCGGTAAATCATAGAGATTAAAACATTTATATTCGACTAGAGGGCATTCCAACCTCACATGTATTAAAAAAAAAAGTACATGAATACAATGAAAAAGAAAAAGTACATGAATACAATGAAAAAGAAGGGCTAAGTATTTAAACAAAAAAAAAAAAGGAATAATTGTAAAATGGCACTGAAATTTCTCTAGAAGCAACTATGGCGGCCCATAGATCCAAAGACCATCTTCTCAGTTGTTGGACCCGACTCTTCGGCTTCGGTCAGTATTCTCAATTTTTGCTGCGACTCCTCTCTTCTCCTCCTACTCTTCACCTTCCTCTCATCAACTGCTTCTGATGCTCTGCAAACTCAAATCCCTTCCATTTCCACGGCGTTTCTGAGGTCTGTTCCTTCTCATCTCTCATTCCCATTTTGATATTTTCCCCATTACACCCGTTGGACAGTTGCAGAACTTTCAATTTTTCACCATTTTTGTTCATCTTCCGTTTCCAATCTCGAGGTTGAAGTTTCCCCCCTCGATGCCTTGAGAGCTCCCTGTTTAAGTTCATTGTGGATTAATCTTCTTTGTGCCATCTAATTCATTGTGGATTCTCTCAAGGGTTTGAAGAAAGCTCATGCGTTTTGGGGTTCTCAAAATTTGTGGGGAAACGCACTTCTTTGTTCACGCCATTGCTGTAAAATGTTTGAAGAAAGTATTTGCCGGTTTTAGGGTTTATGTTCTTCCAGGCAATTGTTCGTTGTAGTATTCTGAAGTCTTTCTTGTAAGGATTCCGGGGTCCTTTGTTTCGGGAACTAAAAGTTTGTTGGAATTGGATGTTTGAAGACTGTTATAATTTAGGGTATTTTGGCTGTGGATTTAGGTTCCGATCTTGCCATGGAAATCTAAGTTATACATTCCTTCTTTGATCATAAGCCCAGTGTTATCTTTCTTTTTTGATTTGAGATCTACCACTGTGGGCTGAGAAATTGTGGTCTTATGTTTCTTGGGCAATCTTGATGAACTGGTCAACATTCAATAGCTGGTTAATTTCATGCATTAGTTCTTGGGATGAACGGTTCTGCGTCCTTTGGCCATTGTCATGCTCTTGTAATTAGCATTTAAGTTGAGTTTAGGTTCTTGTTAATTGTCTTAGACTGATTCCGGCCAAAATGATGGGACATGGTAACTGTTTTGTGGAGTGGAAGGAGCAATTTGTTTCGCAAGAACGGGGAAATCGCGTGGTTCATTATTTTTTGAAGGATTCTGCTGGAGAGTCCATTCTTGCAGTTGTGGGGACTGAGAGAAGCGTCAGACACATGTTTTATGTTGTTGCAGACGAGTTTTTGAAAGTTCATGGGAAGGAAAGTTCTGTCCATGCTGGTTTCAAATGGAGATCGAGGAGAGAGGTTGTGGATTGGCTTACTTCTATGTTATCAAAGCAACATTCTCCTGGGAATCATTCTGGTTTGTCTTGGTTTTTCATTTTATACATATATTTTTTTCTTTTGGATATTTAGATTCTTTGTGGATTATTGTTGTGTTAGACTGAATTTGCTAAAGTAAACACCATTCTCTCTCTCTTTATATGTGAGGGTATTTGTAATTTGCCTTTGTAGAAAATCCTTTAGTTGTCGAACACATTTCACATGATTCGCATGATAAGTTCTACTAGCCAAATGTAGTAGGATTAGATAGTTATTCCGTGAGATTAGTCAAGGTGCCGTAAGTTGGCCCAGACTCTCACAAATATATAAAAAAAAAAATAGTACACGAGCCTAATTGAGAAAGTACTATCATTTAGCGTTATTGAGGAGGCGACCGGAGGTTGCATCATCCTTGCCTCGAAGTCAACCATAGCATGCAAATTCAATTAGCCGCACGCCATAGTTACCTTTTTTTTCGCCGTGCTTAGGGTGAACATGGTGAATATGTTTTGACATTCCATGGCTATGTATACGTTACAAGTTTATATCATATATACGAATTTTAATTACTCAAATGCACTTCAGTTCAATTGGGTGACACCAAGCAATCAGGAATTGCAGTTTTTATGGTGATATAATATTTATGTTATATTGCAAATGAAATTCCTCCAATGTCATGAACAAAAAATCAAGCTAGAGTCATCCATCTAATAAATTTATTTTTTTCTTCTGAAATTTTAAGGAAGCTTATTAAAGTAAGGTCAACATATATTTTTTTGTTGTGTTTTCTTTTTGAAAATACATTTTTCCCTATTGATTTCCAATGTTAAATCGTTGGTATTAACATCTTGACAAAGTTTTTAATGCAGAGCCTTGTGAATGTGATGCAATACAAACATTGGGTTCTCTTCAATTTTCACATAGTGGAGTAGTTATTCCACACTCTGGTGTTGCAGATGATAAGGTAAACTTCTTTCCTCCCCCGACTCATTTTCAAAAAAAATTGGGGAATTGTCCCTCAGTTTGGTTTTGATCTCTATATAGGTTCGCCCATCTAGGAATGCCAAGGGGCTTGCATCAGATATTGTATGGTCTGGTGCTGCATGGACTTGTGGTAAAAGACTCAAGCATTACCCATCATTTTGCAGGAACGGGACTTCAATCATGGTAAGCATTTACTCTATAATTGATAAGGTATCATATCACCATCAGTATCGTTGTATGTTGTCCCATTTAAGTGAGCACCAATGTTTCAAATTTTAGTAACTTAATGGTATGGAAAAGAAGAGCAAGAAATGTCTATATTTAAATACATTATGACAAAGTAGTTGCAGTGGAAGTGCCCAAATGTACGTGAGTGATTTCGAGATGAAGTTAATTTTTTTTTTTTTTTTTGCACTTTTTCCAAGCTTGACACTAAGATTTTTCATCTTGAAACTGATGGAAGTTATTTTAGATAGACATATCAATATGTTAAAGCATTTTGATAGACCTCAATACTCAATAGTTAAAGTACACAAGCGTACGAGAGCAGAAGGAACAACTTAGCATTTACCGTGAATTTTAAATCGTGGGACCCAAACTAGTTAGTTAGGCTGGTGGGAAAGATGTGGGCCAGGGAGTATTTAGGGGTTAAATTAGGTACTTTTTTAGTATGAATGTCATAGGTGATCAGCTCTTTAATTTTCCCTTTGCTAGGTACCTCTTTGTATGAATAAATAGACAAATGCTATCATATTTGTTTCATGATGACCTTTAGGCTTTAGTTGTGGTATAGAGGTCTATTAGATTATACACGTATGTGATAACACATACTAATTTTCCATCATTTTTTTAATCTTGGCATTCTTCCTACTCAATGCGACTCAGGTACAATCTTTTGTCTATGTCATGGCCAAGGGAGCAAATCACTATCTTGCCTACCTGGAAGACATGTATGAAGATAGGAGGGGTCAGAAAAAGGTGAAAGTGAGGTGGTTTCATCATAGTCAGGAGGTGAAAGGTGTGATCACATTACGAAACTCTCACCCGAGAGAAGTTTTCATCACACCGTATGTTCAAGCCATTAGTGTAGAATGTGTTGATGGTCCTGCCACAATCTTAAATCGTGAACATTACGAAAATTGTGTCAATGCCTTTCCTCAGGATGCGCTGTCCAAAATTCATCTGTGCTACAGGCAGTTCAAAAGCAACCGATTAAAACCTTTTGACCTCAGCAAATTGCACGGCTATTATGATCAGCCGGTCCTCGCTTATTTGAGTCTCAATGTATTGTCAAAATCTGAGCCTATCTTTGATGGCTTGATTGGGGAAGAAGATGAAGATTTGGACCTGGAAAATATTGCTAGACCAAAAGTGAGAAGGATGAGAAATGCTAAAGGTTGTAGAACATTTGAGTTAGAAAATGCAAAAGTTAGAAAGTCTGGTAGTCGTCGACATATGTTGACTTACAAATCTTGCCAAGAGCATAATTACAGCTTTTTAGGTGGCAGGTTTCTTTCTCATAAACATGTTTTGCACGATTACACCCCAGCATTTGAGGTTGATGAGAAGATAGAATTACTGTGTCAAGATAGTGGAATTCGAGGCTGCTGGTTCCGATGTACGGTCTTGTATGCATCACCAAAACAGATTAGAGTACAATATGATGATCTGCAAGATGAGGATGGCTATGGAAACCTTGAGGTAATGCTAATTGTCAAAGAGTTACAATTGAACAGTTTGTGATTCTTTCCCATTTTGTTGAACTTTGACACTTTTTGGAAGTTGTCTTTTAGGTCAAATTTCAGAACTTTCAGGATGTTTGTTTAATAGATTCTTGAACTTTATAAAGTGTGATAATTCTTTAAACTTTTAGTGTTGTTATCTAATAGATTATTTAACTTCAAAAAGTGTCTTATAGTTCTCTAAACTTTCTAACTTCGTACCTAATATGAGTCCAGGAAGTTTAAAACATGTTTGATAGGTCAAAGATTTATTAGGCACAAAATTAAAAGTTCAAGGACCTATCAAACACTTTGTAAAGTTTAGGGATCTATTTGACACAACAAAAAGTTTGGGGGTTTATTAGACACTTTACTTGTAAATTGTAATTCAACGTAAATTTTATCAACCCAACATAAGTAGAGGAGGACTTACTCAATCCAATATTGCATTATCGGGCTTTTTATAGGATTGATGATCGAAATTGTACAGATGGAGATGGAGCTTATATATTGGAACATCAAATATTTAGTCTATTGCCTTTAGGTTGTCTCCCTTTTTTGGGGCTCTTTTCATTGAATAGATACCCCTTGTTTCTTATGAAAATATATATATATATATATATAGATTTAGTCTATTGCCTTTATTTATCATACAAAAGTTTTTGATCTAGCTATCAAGGTAACGTTGCATGTAACTTTTTCGGTTGACTCATGTAGAGTTGCTGCTAAGCTCTGTTTTTTATTGTTCTCAAATGCATTCTCTATATGTAGGGTGCTGTATTGATTTCTTGACAAGGCATTTCAAGTTGAATGTCCCTAAATTATCCTTGAGTATTGGGGAGCAAAGCTCCGACTCCCGATTATAAAAAAATAAAAAATTCAAGTTGAAGTATCCTACAAGTTTTTCTTCTTTTAGGAATGGGTCCCTGCTTACAAAGTTGCTCTACCTGATATACTTGGCATGAGGCACCCTGGCCGCCTAATTACAAGGCCAGTACCACAAGAGCAAATAGAGCTTGCTCTTGATATTGGTGTTGCAGTCGATGCATGGTGGAGTGATGGCTGGTGGGAGGGAGTTGTTACTGGCCTAGATGATTCAGGCAATGAAGATGTGCATATTTACTTTCCAGGTAATCTTATCGAGAAACAGAAGAATAATTATTTCCTTCTATCAATTTTAAACATAATCTCCATTTATTTAGTCGTCTTTCTTTGCAATGCAATTCTTTTGCTGTTAATAGGTGAAGGCTTATTCTTGAACATACATAGAACCAATCTCCGAAAATCGAGAGATTGGTTCGGGGGTCGCTGGATTGATGTTGAGGCGAAGCCCTCAATACTGTCGACGATATCTGATCTTAATAGTGCAGACGACAAGCATTCAAAGTCCGTTTCCCATGTCGAACCCAACAGTTCGGCTAACGTGAATGCTGGTACTAATCTTAGTCAAGTAAAAGAGGAAGTACTTGAGGAAACTGCATTAGCTAGTCTCGAAATGCTTCGTGAGTTAAATGGCGGGATGAAGCAAGTGTCATCAGAACTAGATGACCAGAGTGAGGATGATGGGGTAGAGGTAGACACCAAAAACAGTAGCCATAATTTGAAGGATAGTAATGGAGGAGGTGATAATACTACAAATAGTGATAGTGAAGATGAAAATGATGAGAATAGCAATTGGGTTAATAAATCAGAAATGGATTCCATGGAAACTTCTGAACAGAACTGTAGAGAGGAAGAAGCAGAGGATATGGATATGGATACGGAAGCTGTAGATGTTTAGAAAAGTACAGTTTAAGTTTAGTTTAATAATTTAGTTGCAGTGTTGGTTTTTCTAAAGCAATTGCACACTGCTGTGTTTATTTTAGGCTGTTGTAAATAGTTGGTTGGTAGGGTGGTGGAGAGGAAGCTAACTTCTTAGATTGATTTCTCTTTGGTGTTCTTCCTTCATATAATGTATAGAATTGAGGTCAGTTACCATATCAGCAGCTGTCTTAAGTCCAGATTTTTTAGGTTTAGATGAGTCAAATCTCCCTCAAGCCTTGTCTCAATCATGTAACAAAACTATCTTTGGCTGGTGGATTACTTGTTTGTCTTGTTTTTCAAGAACATATAATGTACATCAAAATAGATCATTCTAAGTTTATTTTTCTGTCTTGTTCTGTTTCTGTACTCTGCCATCTGTTTTGTTGTTTTTTTATTGTCTTGTTCTCGATATGGTGTTGATCTTATAAGCACGAGCAAAGAGGTTAGGGAAATCCCTTCGAGAACGTTGCTCGCCGCGAGGCGCTTAGCAGATCCTGAGCTTGAACAATCGCCTCGAAAGATTAGCTTAGGATCAATCGCCTCCAAATATCTATAGTTAAGCGCTTTATCCTGTGAGAGTTACTATAGAATATGATCTTTAATTGGCCAAAAATCACTTTTTTGTTTCATTGAGAGATTATGATCTTTAATTGGCCAAAAATCACTTTTTTGTTTCATTGAGAGTTATTATATGATATGATCTGATTAGTTAAAAACCACTTTTTTGCTCTAATAATTTTATTTCTGAATTTTATTACGTAACAATTTAGTTATTTGTAGTTTAAAATTTATAATGAATAAGTCCTTTTCGTGAAAAATGTTGTTGAGGTTTAGTAAATTTTAAAAGGTGCAGCTGGTTTGGACTGGATATCAAAAGTAAATAAATAAAAGTTTAAATTAGTACAAAAACTAATTATTTTTTTAAAGTCCTTGATATAACGAATAGTCCCTTTAATATTTTGTTTTCGAATAGTTTCTCATATTCTTTTCTATTAGTATTTTGCCACTTCTACTGATTACACACTGTGAAGAGTCTTTAGTAATGCATTGCAATTGCTTAATTAAATCAAACAAAAATTTTCAAGGTGTGCAACTGAATATTTTGTTAAATCTAATTAATAAAGATTTGGAAACTAAATCAAACAAAACTTTTCAAGGTGTGCAACTAAATATTTTTTATATAATTATTACTTTTATAATATTATATAATTTATAATATATCATGTTTTACCTATTTTAATTTTAACACAAATGAAATGAGTTTATTACGTAAAATAGTATATTTATCAAAAATTTTATAATTTTGTATTTTAAATTTAAAATTTCAAATTTAAAATCTCGAAACATTAAACTACTTATATAACAAAGTTTAAAATGTATCTCTACCAAACAAGATATTCACTTCATTCAATGAATCTGAAAATAAGAAACAAAATCAAGTAAGATTCAGTGAGTCTAGAAATAATAAACGAAATCGAGTCAAGACATACTTTAAACTTATTGCTATATTTGAAAATACATATTTATATTATACTACTATAAATTCCATGTAAAAAAGGTTTATGAATATTTCATTTATTAGGCATATCTTTATCAAATATATGTGACGAATATCAATTATTACTAAACTAAGCACATGTTGACAAGATAATATTGTTGGTTAAAATTATCTTTTTCAAAAGCATAAAATGAGTCGGAGATTTCAATCATCAAATAGAATAAATAAAATTTAAATTCGTAAATAAAAAAATTCAAAAGAGTCAAAACGTTTATTAGATAAGTAAAATTATAAAAATATATAATAAACATATTTAAATATATATCGTTTCCGATGTTTAAGTTAGATTGGTCGAGTTTGAGAAATAATTCCAAATAGTAAATAGTTATCGATGAATGAAGTGGCAGTCAAGTGCTGACTAGATCGGACTTTGGCCAATATATATTAGTTTTATATTAAAACGTGGTTACATGGCTTTTCTCTCCCTCCTTTTGCCGTTGCTTCTAAATTCCAATTTCTATCTCCAAATCTTTGAATTAATCACGTAAATAATTATGTGCGTTGTTCGATTTGTGCCATTTCCAGCAAAATCAAATCCTTCTTCTTCTCCACCGCAACTTAAATTTAAATTACAATGCCTTCTCTTCTTTTTCCCAAACTTCTTTTTTATCCACACGATTTTCTTTCCTAATCACAATTCACAAACAATTGCTTTTCACTTTTTGAATCTTTTTTGTTTATATCCAACAAATTACTCGAAACAAAAATATAATAGTTTTAATGCCCAGAAAATGGCAAAGTGAGAGCGAATGGAGAAGAGAGAGCCTCCGACCTCAAGAGAAAGAGTAAGAAGATTAATTAACCAATGAATTGTATTCGTATTGTATTTGAGACTTCAAAAATGACCAAATATAAATACCAAACTCAAACTTCAAGAATTGAAAGTTTATTTTATCCTAAAATAATTAGAAAATATAATTTATTTACAATATGATAATTATTGATCACTCTCTTGAAAAGCTAAAATGTTCCATCCTCTTGATCTATCTCTCCCTAAAAATTTATTGGGAAACAAAAGTTAGATACTTTTACCATTAAATATTATACAAATAGAAAAGATATGTTTAAAAAAAAACTAAAAACTATCAAATTATAGGTGTGGGTCATTAAGTATCTAAATATTTTTTATTATTAAATATTTCTCTTCAAGATGAGTAAATCATATGTTCATTATTAATCTCTCTCAAAGATCTACATAAGCATCTCAAGTATTATTCATTGCTGATTTGATTTTTTTTTAGTGCAACAGTACTGAAATCTTTCTCTTTCAAATGGATGAAAGCATAATAAACGCATTATTCATTATTGAATCTTTTATTTAAAAGATGGATTTGGTATAAGCATCGTCTAAATATTGTTCATTATTAAATCTCTCACGGAAGGATTTGGTATAAGCATCTAAGTATTGTTCATTATCGAATCTCTGTCTCAAAGATAGAACTAGTATAAGTATCTAAATATGGTTCACTATTGAATCTCTCTCTTATAAAACATCTAAGTATCGTTCATTACCGAATCTCTCTTTCAAATATGAATCTAGTATAAAAATCTAAGAATTGTTCACGGTTCAATCTCTCTCTTTGATATAAAAATCTAAGTATGGTTCATAAACATAATCTTGCTCTCTCTCTCATATCTCTCTAATATAAATATCTAAGTATTATTCAAATATGGATATGGTATAACCATCTAAGTATTGTTCATCGTTGAATCTCTCTCTGATATAAACATCTAAGTATTGTTCATTATTGAATCTCTCTCAAAAGATCGTAGTTGAGGGTCGAATCTCTCCCTCCCTCTCAAAATAATAAAGAGTGTGTTTAGTTTAAATGAGAGCAATTAGGATCGTGTTTAAATGCCAAAAACCGATCAGTTGCCAAAGAAATCCCAAGTAGTGGGATTCGTGGGAAGTTTTAAATTAAACTCCCAAATCATTCATTACTATTCAAAACCCACATCCACTTTCTCATAAATAATTCCACCATGCAAAGAGAACTCCCATTCCATTCCACATCTCCATCTCCAAATTCCACAAAAACAAACCCTCCCAAAACCCCCCATTCAAAGATCCTACCAACAAAACAAAACACAGAGCCTTCAAAATTCCATCCAACAAAGCACAAATTTTTATGTCCCTTTAAATTCCCATTTACTCTCAAATTTAAAACCCCTCTCTGAAAATCTAACGCCTCCCTCTTTCCTCCACGCCCTTTAAGTTTAAGCTCCTCTTTCCAAAAATCTCAGAGTTCGTTCCATTTCTCCATTAAATTGAAAAAACAGAGCTTTTTCGACACCCGCCATGAAAAAGACCCCCTTCTTTTTTCTCTCTCGTGGGTTTTTGGTTTTTGGTCTTTTTGTTCTGTTGGGTGTCGCCGGCGGCGGTCGAACAGAGAGATACGCCATCGGTTGGGATGATTTGCATATCGATGCTCGCCGGCAGGGGCTGAACTCCGGCGACAACGGCGGCACTCGGATTATTGTGGTGGATAAAAATTGCTCCGGCGACTCGCCGACGGTCCAAGGGGCGGTGGATTTGGTTCCTCATTATAATAAACAGAGAGTCAAGATTTATATTCTTCCCGGAATTTACAGGTTCTTCGTATCATCAATTTACCCTTTTTTTTTCTTTTGAATTTAGTCGGAAAAATGACCGGTTGAACCACGTTCATGAAGCCTCAATAACAAACATGGTTTCTTTTGATTTCTAATTTTTTTTTTTTTTGTAATGTTAAGATTATTGTATAATTTTGAGTATAGACTAAAGTTATTGTACAAGTTATAAATCATTCATGTAAAGATTTAAGTTATTGTGAACAATAAAAATTTTGTTATTGTTGTTATTGTGAAAAGAAAGGTGACTGTATATATTTAGAAATAAAAGTTATTTGTTAGGATGTATTGAATGAAAATATAAAATATATAGTTTCTTTTTACCTACATTTCTACTAAATTGTTTAAGAATGTCAAATGTGATTAGTTAACCTATTAGATGAAATTGAAAAATAATTTATTTAAATTTTTAGGTTATACAAGAAATAAAGTTTTCAGTTTGATGTTCACGTATTATAAAATCAAATTTTAGATTTTTTTTTAGTTCAACGAGAAGTAAAGAGCTAACCTTAACCTGAGTTTAGATATACGGCAATAACACATATGTCTCGAATCCTCCCATCCCACGGCAAAATTTAAGTCATTTGGATAAAAGTGATTGTCCATGCCAAAAATTAAGTTGTAGGTTAACATTTAATGAAACAAAATCAACGTCAAAAGTTTAAAAATTAAAAATTGTAGTAATAAAATATAGAAATATATAATTTCCTTATTTTTTTCTTTCTAATCGAATTGTGATGATTAGCCAGGTAAATAGTTACAAATTGTCATTAATAAATAAAATTGAATACATACCATTAAGTAATAGCTTAATATGTTTTTTTTTGGGCTGTTTATTTTTTTTTTATATGTGAATTACAATTTAAAATTATGTCTTTTATTATTTCATAAAATAATTATATGAGTTCATGCTTCTGAGTCATTGTCATCAACGATCTTTTCGGTTTATTACTTATTGGTTAGGAATACAGGCCCAACCTCGGCCCATAAAACCTAATGGGCCTATAATATTGTTGGGCCTTGATGTGCCTTACTTCTAAAAGCTAAGACCGAGGCCCAATTCATAGGCAGGGTTCGCTAGTCATTTAAATTAATTTTTTAAGAAAATTGATTTTAAAATTCAAAAATTAAAATATATTAAAACTAATGATAGATGTTTTGAGTTAGACTTTAATATAAGTTTTTGTTTTTATATAAAGTTTGTTACTTTAATTATTTTGTTTAGAACAATGAATGTGGGGTATGGAATTCAACCTCCAACTTCAAGGAATTAGATGTCATTTAAATCTTTCCTACTCATTCTCGACCACATTGTTCTTATAGAGAGAGATGGTTGGGGAAAGAAAAGATTCTTTTTCTAGGATACCCTCGAGAAGAGATCTAATGGAGATGGAGTGGAACCTCTAGCTTAGAGGATTGAGCACATGGTTACGAACTATTGTGTCAAGAGTTTGAATCCCTCCTTACCCAGAATCAGTCAAAAAAAAAGAGCTATGCTGACAATTTTTACTTCTATTAAAACAATCATTTTTCTAAAAAATATTTTAATTATTAACTATTAGGAGAATGGGTTAAATAAGCTTCTAAACTTTTCCTTTTGCAGAGAGAAAGTAACTATACCAAGCACCAAGCCATACATTTCACTGATAGGAAACAAACGACGAGTCACAGACACTATCATTACATGGAATGACAAGGCATCCGATAGAGATATCAATGGAGGTGAACTCGGGACATATAGAACAGCGACTGTTTCGGTCGAATCTGACTATTTTTGTGCAACAGGAATCACGTTCGAAGTAAGAATAATCATGTAGAAAACAAAGAGAGTACATAATGTTAGTTTGAAAGTTATCAAGTTACAAGAGTTGATTGTGGTTGTAGAATACAGTGGTTGCTGAGCCAGGAGACAGTGGAAGACAGGCAGTGGCTCTAAGAATTGCAGGAGATAAGGCAATGTTTTACAGAGTCAAATTCATAGGACAACAAGATACACTCTTGGATGACATAGGCACTCACTATTTCTACCAATGCCACATTCAAGGAAGCGTCGATTTCATATTTGGGAGAGCTAGATCGCTCTACGAGGTAATGAGTTCATAACACTTATCCCTACACTTATCCCTCCCGAGTTTAACTTACCATTTTAATCTTTGTAGTTTGGCTTTGGTTTCAAACATGATCCCTATGATTTAAATTATTTCTTTAGCCACCATTTCCCCCATTCTAACACGTGCAACTAATACTATCAACCAAATCAAATATACCAACAAGAAACAACTAATACCATCAACGGAACGAATATAACAACCTTTTGTCACGTAAATAGATTCTGTCCTAGCAATAGAACTAGTTCAGACATATATCTTCGACCAAAAGGTTCATGTTAAACTCAAAAGTAAAAAAAGTGTCATACGTTCAATATGACAACAGTCTGTAACATTTGAGATGATTTGTGAAATTTGACAAGACCTTGAGAACTAGAATGAAATATTAAAACCATGTTGACCAATTTGAAACCAATCCCAAACCAAAAGGATCCAAAATAAAACTAAGCAAAACTATACGGAACAAAATTGTTGATTTAACCCTTCCCTTCTTTTAAGCTTAGTAAATTCTTCATGTGATATTTTTATCTTCTCTTAAAATACCAGCAATGTATTATAAGTTCCACAGCTGAGAACTATGGAGCAATAGCAGCACATCATCGGGACTCGGCAGAAGAAGAAACTGGGTTCTCTTTCGTACACTGCGTAATCAATGGAAGTGGCAAAATACTCCTGGGAAGAGCATGGGGAAACTATTCAAGAACAATATATTCTTACTGTTACATTCAAGATATAATAACTCCCACAGGATGGAGTGACTGGGGTGACCCATCAAGGCAAAGGTAAATAAATAACGAAGTACAGTAATGAGTAAAATTCCCCTACGAATCTAACTAATCTGATAGAATTTTCCAACTTTTTACCACACAGGACAGTAGTTTTTGGGCAGTATAATTGCAGAGGCAGTGGAGCTAACACACAAGGGTGGGTGCCATGGGCAAAGACTTTCAGCTATGAGGAAGTAAGACCTTTTCTAGATATGAAATTCATCAATGGAGAACAATGGCTTGACTTATGAGTTAACACGACGAATTATAAGTTTTGACTCTACAAAACTTAACATTATTTTCTTCATTCTCGAACAAAAAAAAAACAACCAAATAGCCATCATCGTGAGTTCCCACGATGGAAGAATGTAAAGAAGTATAGTAACTATTAATCAAGACCAAAGAGTCTATTTAGAAATCCTTGACTATGTTTAGAACATTTTTCACGATTCTTTAAAATGATTATAGGCCTTTATGTTGCTTTCTTTTTTGTTTTATTCATTGTAAATTATCTTATATAACAAGCAAGAGTTGAGTAATTACAGAGAAATCCAATTACTACAAGATTTTGAAACGAAATAGTGGGGCTTATTTTATGGATTAGTGTTTTTTCAATGTTCCAATGATCAAATATCATGCACTCTTAAGTTGTAATCACATTTCAGTACTGAATAAGTACTTTGATGTAAAAATATTACAAGAAAACTAAGAATAAAATTTATCGATCAAGGTCTTATTGAATTGTCAGCTGGTTAATTCTTTTTGATACAATGTGACAGTAAGTAACCAATTTTCAACAATAGAACAATTTTCTATGAAGCTTGAAAAAGTAATCAATTTCAGAGGGGACGACAAAAAGTTCCTTAGATTTCATGCATATGTTTCCTCAGACTCAGGCTGCTCTGACTATATATTGAGTTGAACCAAGGAATAAGGAAGACATCAAACTTAACCGCATCAGTTACTGAGGGGAGGAAAATTTACACAAAGTATGTGCAACTGTTTCTACACTTCATAGAAAATGCATATGCAGTTTCCATGACAAAATGGCTAGGTCTCGTGGGAGAAATGAAATAGAAGCACCCCAAATTTCAGAGGGCAAAATGCAACTTAATTTTCTTAGTGATCAACTAAATTATGTGTTTAGAAGTCTTACAAAAGGGTACTCAGGTGCCAAGATTCGGTGCTCGAGTTGACACTGGCTGGCCATGAGAATATCTCCATTGATCACATGCTGAGCATTTCTCCAACTTCACACTGTTTTCTAAGGTGCAGAATTTACATGACCAGAGTTCGTACTTGGTATCAGCATCTTTTGGCTTTTGTGAGTAACAAAGCTCACATAGTGGAGCTAGTGGCTGCATGACAATAAACATTGGCATGGGAAAAAAAGAACATTGAGGAACTTGGCAGGATGATAGATAATAAACATGCCCTTGGGCCGTGATGATATTCGAAAGTAAAATTTAAGGTAAATATGGAGTTGAGGATATATATATTTTTATGAAAGAATGTTAGATTCATTCAATCAGAGGACAAGCTTACATGCCAGATTGGAAAAGAAGTCCCAAACAAAGAGTCCAAGGAAAACAAAAAAAAAACAGTCAACAAAGCATATTAACAGTCTAAAAAGTAAACCTCCCACCACATCACCTACCAGAAATATTGATAAAATCCTTAGAAGGCCAAAATGAGCAGGAAATTGGTCCCTATCCGGCTATATCCATGACATCTAGAACAAGCAAGCTCTTATCTTAAAGCAATAAAGACACATTATTGGTATTTATTCATTAAATACTTGGCAGTTGAAAAAACTTTGATGTCAACTGACTAGATTCTACATGGAGGTGAAAACTCCTATAAGTTTATGAGATCTCTACATGTTAACAAGAAATTTCTACTACAAAAGTAAAATTTTGTCAAGACTACTACTGAAAATTTTTGAATTCCAAAGCTCTAGCATGGAATAAAATAGTATTCAAATGTGAAAACAAACAAGCAATGTACAAAGGTGTTAATGATTGATTAGACGTGCTGCTACAGGTTCCTAATTAACTATAACTTCAAAGCTTCCTACTTCACAAGACCCCCATACTACCAGACCACTAAGAGGCAAAAACTTCATGTTAATATTCTTAAAAGTCTCTCTCCCATTAACCCAGCAAAAAGAAATAAAAGAATATCTCCTAGAGGTCTCTCTCCCATTAACCCAGCATGTCAACCTTGACCAGAACTTTTTACAGTTCTCACTGCAGTTCAAAACAAGCATTAAAGGAAATTATAGAGTTTGTGCAAAAGTGATGGTTCATGTGGTAAACAAATATATGAGTCGATAAAGTTCACAACACATACGGGATTCAGTAAGGTGCAATTCCCACACTCCCACATGGAAAGTTCTCCGGGATGATGATGAGTTCCATCATGACTTTGCATCAAATTAGAGGATGAACAGGACAAAACTTTTGAGCTAGTTTCTGCACAAGATTGAGGAAATGGAACCCTATTTGACATTTTACTTCGCTTATTTGATTCTGCATCATAGTCAGCAGTGGACCCATGGATTGAAACATCTTCAGATAAATCCACAAAATCAGGTTTCAAATGACCATTGGAAGCCTTATTAGTAGAACTGCTACCCAAATCACGACATCTTTTATGGTGTAATGCATCCACACCATTTCTTAAATTGCTAGAGGGTCCCGGTTTACCTGCTTCGCACGAATGCACTGCTTCTGATGGAATATCAAAGCAACATTCCTCATCTACAGGAATTTCTTGAATTGAAGCACACCAAATATCATCCTGAAGCCTCCTTTCTGCAGCCATTGCAGCAGCTTGTACTGGACTAAGCGCAACCATGATGTTACTATCACCACCAAGCCGTTTAGGTCCAGATGGAAGTAGAGATCCTAAACGTCTTCTTCCTTCTGCAGCAGCTAGGGCAGATTTGCGGAGGGAAGAAAGAGGGGGTTGTCGCGAATTACCACCCAAACGCCTACCTTGGAGATCAAATCCCTGTGCTGTGCCACTAATTCCCTTAGCCATCAACTCCTCACATTCCTATATTTCACAAAAACCATCGAATTTGATGCATGATAAGCAGCAATTTCCAATAAAAATGAAATTTTGCTATGATAAAATATAAAAATACAAAATAGGAGTTACGTTGAAAAATGTTCTCTCTGCTGAAATTTATAAACATGAGTTGCGAACAAAAAGGAAATTTGCAGACAATCGGTAAAACATGATGAACAAATTTATGAAATGCAGAGAATGAAAGCAGCAAAATCTTATCCAAGTACACAATTTGATGAGCCCTCTCCTTTCAGCACTTGAGAATAAATATCAAGAAGACAATGCCACTTCTTGATCTCAGATCAGGGTTAATTGCTTTAAGTATTAACCATTATAATATCTATCAACTGGCATGCCATGAATTATAATAACAAGGTCCAACCAGAACCTTGCATACAGGAGAACTTATACCAGGAAGTTGATTGTAAATGGCATGAATACAATAAAGCAAATAAGAAAACTATAGTCCTCTGGTTATAGTCATGAATATCTTTCTGTGTGTCGTTTTTAGATATTTAAATTAGAAAATCATAAATATATAAATAAATGAAACACCTTTCTCAGTTCATCCCACAGCTTGTAGAAATTGGCATTGTGAGGACCATGGAGATTGTGGCAAAGTTCATGCAGCATGGTATCCAAGACTTGATTGAAGGGGATGAAGTCTTCATCCCTATTTGGCCTTCGAAGCCTCAGCTTCACATGAATTCCACGTCCCACATTTAATCCTAAAAGTGCTCGATTTTTTGGGCTGCAAATTTATCAATAAACATAATGCAGGAAGAAGTAGACACCAGAAATAGTTGACTCGACCAAAACTAAATAAAGAATACAGAACAACAACAGTGAAAGTTCCTTT